TTCGTTGAAATTGGCACCAAGCCTGGCGCGGTTTTGTTGTCTTTAATCCCAAGAGATTGGTTGCAGTTCATCTACAGGGTGTATCAAAACAAACGAGATCTTTAGAAATCAAGCTGTTGTTGCTGAATCTTCTATACTTATATAAGCTTACAAAGGAGCATAACTGCATAAAAAATTTAAATGTCAAATTGATAATTAGTCATCAGTTCGAATAAAAATGGTTGAACTGACCACATGCATGCAGAGCGACGAGTTTTTAATACTGTTTTAAGCGATGACAGTTAAATTAATCAGCACATTCATATGTTGGACGAAACCAAATTAATTTTAAAGTTTTAAATAACTTCGTCGTGCATGAAATTCATTTCTATTACCGAGCGTTCGGCATACTGCTTTGCATTTAAATTCCAACAATAGCTTGACTTCTAAACGACTCGTTTTTTTTATATACCTTGACCTTGTGTTCATAACGTCACGAACAGTGCCAAAACAATTGAAGAATGTCGACAGTCGGCATATAGAGAACAGTGGAATTTTTAAAACAATGAAATCACAATATATCATTGAATTGTGCTTGGGGCACGGCACGGGTGAAAAATGGCACGGTACCGTGTTTTTTTTGGCACGGCACGACTCGTTTACATTGACATTTTCAAGCAATTTCAACAGCAAATTTGTTTCTCAAGGAAATGGCACGGCACGGGCAATTTTACGCGCCTTCGTTTTTTCGTCCAGTAAACATTAACGAGGTATGCGCATATAAAGTATTTTGTATGCGCAATACAAACATTCATTGTGTTTATAGATCAGTGATTCAATATGGCGTCTTTTGACCCCGATTTCAACAAATATCTTTGGCTATTTTTTCAGCAAATAAAGGCAAAACGACAAGCTAATACGCATGGCAGTATTATAAGTAAATCGAACACTAACTTCTTTGACATTCTCTTTGGGAAGTTAGCCAAGAAGAGGAGAGTAAAGTATATTTCAACTCTCCTTGCTTACCAATACCGCGAGCGAGGCATGTGGATGAGACCACGCACAGATGCCTGGTTTGTCATGGTTGACAAATCTCTGGACGATCAAACATGGTACGCCAACTTTAGAGTTTCAAGGCACACATTTCAGTTTATCCTCGATCAGATTGAAGATGATATTGTTCATGAGAATACAAGGCTTCGCAAAGCAGTTTCACCGAAATGCAGATTGGCAATGGCTTTGTACTATCTTGCAAGCACTGCTGAATATCGCACAATTGCAAATTTGTTTGGAGTTTCCCCGTCATTTGTTTGTATTTGCGTGAGAGAAGTCTTCCAAGCAATCATTGATAATATGAAATCGTCATTTGTATTTTTACCCAAGGACGAGGAGCTTGATGCAATTGTCAAAGTGTACAAAGAAAGGTGAGGCTTTCCAATGTGCTGTGGGGCTATAGACGGAACACATATACCGATTATAGCTCCAACTGAAAACCATGCAGACTATGTAAATAGAAAGGGGTATCATAGTATTGTGATGCAAGCAGTAGTTGACAGCAATTATCTTTTTCGAGACATGGTAATTGGTTGGCCTGGAAGTGTGCATGATGCACGTATTCTTTCCAACTCGCATTTGTATCGGCTTGGCAACGAGGGAAAATTGTTTGTTGGAAACCTATCTGAAAACATCAATGGAACTCTTGTTAATCCATTAATATTGGGAGATCCTGCCTATCCATTACTGCCATGGCTGATGAAACCCTACCAACATAGTCCTGATATCACTGCTTCCCACAAATACTTTAATTATCGACTGAGCAGAGCTAGAATGACAGTTGAAAATACATTTGGGCGATGGAAAGGACGATTTAGGCGGTTTTTAAAGAAAGTGGATATGAATGTCACAAATGTATGCATCACAGTGGCAGCTTCATGTATTTTGCATTATTTGTGCGAAATTTCGCATGAGGAAATTGTCGATGAATGGTTGATAGATGTACATGCTTCTGCTGCTGCAGATAATGATGAGTATTTAGTACAAGACTTGCTTGTAACACCTGACTCTTCGGATATTAGAGATGCATTAACTGATTACTTTATGTCAGATGGTGAGGCAAATATGGGTTGTGGTGGTTCATAGTTACTAAAAGAGGTACTGTAAGATCCTTGGTATGAGGCAAGAGAGGATGTGCAAGGTTAAATAAATATATATTCTTTCAAGTAATAGTATTTAATTTTTGGCAAATGATAGTCTGGGGTGGGTTGTTCAAAACCTAGGTAATTAACACAAAACATTCAAACAAACATTATGACAAAATTGACATAAATTTTGAAATTTATTTCACAAATGTTCTGTGTATTGGCTGAAATTTCAATTTCACAAGTTTTGAAATAAACAGTGGCACACAAATCAAAACAGTGGGTTACCTTTGAACAACCTGCCCCAGGGTAATATGACTTATTTTTGTTATAATATACTACAGTACAGTGCAATCAACATTTAACAAATCTTGTTTCGCTCGCTACTCTGATTTAAATAAATTATTACAAAGCCCAGTCGAAGCCCAGAGGTATTGATAACAATTCGACTGGGCTTTGTAATAATTTATTTAAACCAGAGTAGCAAGCGAAACAAGATTGATATACCTGGTTGCTGCAGCAAACAAACAGACTTTATATTTAACAAATCTGTTATTAGATTCAGTTTATAAAACATATTAATTAAACAGAACTAAACTTCAAAATTATGGCTATGCAGGTTCAGCTTAATATAAGTCAATACACTCAAACTAACAAACATTGTAGAGCAAAACCTATAAATAACTACAGCTCAATTAAATACATGCTGATTAAAGAGGTGTGTACACTGAATTATTATCAGCACTAAAGCTGTTGGAGATATTTGTTGAGGAATACAGAGAAGTAGTCTGATCCCATGGCATTTGCTGCACATGGGGAAACTGGGTGATGGGGCTTGAGGTTGCCATACTCAATGGTACCATTCCGTGGACACTGCCTGTGCCATGATTATTACTAGTCGTAGGTTTATTTTCCATCAACATCTTAAACATTTTCATTTCATGCTCCATTGCTTGCTGCATTCTCTCATTCTCCAGCTGGGTCTGTTTGAGGCGGAATTCAAGTTCCCTCTTATGCCTTGCTTCATCCATTTTCATAAACCTGAAATAATACCAAGCATTTTGCATAATAGTATTCTTTATTACATTTAACAATTATTGCATAGGGGTGAGCTGAATATTCCAAAATATCCAGATTATATATTATCAATTTCTTTCTCTGGCTTGTTTATTGGTAGCCTTTTCTGTATCACAGCTAATAAAATGACATGGCTGTATTTATAACTTGGGAGCTTGGAACAGTATTGTAAGTGCAATGCATTATGGGAAGAGTCTCATTCCTCTTCTGGCTGCTGCACTTGGTGTGTTAAATGAGGTAGTATTCACCAATTAAGTGATAAGGGCACATCTTATAATCCCATGGCTAATTAATGACATTAATTGAGCTTAATTTCTTGCCCTAATGAAATGAAGAACATAAAAGAGCCATTATGAGTCTCAGGTTTTTTAAATAAGAAAACTAGGCATAATTATCCAAAATAGTTACCACTCCATTTCCTTTTGTGACGCACTGTCAAATTTTTGGCATACTATTTCAATGCCTTTCTCGAAGTTGCTCTTCTTATGCTTCACAGGCTTTTTTTTCATTTTGCCAGAAGAATCTACAGACAATGCCATAATGAAAATATTTTATTGTGTGTACATACTGTATACTGTATATGACAGAAAGATTTAAAATTTGAAATTGTTTTTATATGACATAAAGTAGAGTATAAAGTAGAATTTACCAGTATGTTTCGACAATTGGCTTCCCCCCTCCTGAGGATCATCTGGTTCTAAAAACATAATTACTGCATTATATCATAGCATTAATTTTTTAAATTAAATTTGAATAGCGATTCTATGACCAGGACTTTTTTGGTTGGAGAACATCTGTTCAGCTTTTGTTATGAATTAGTCTATTAGCATACCCTCTGTACTTCAATAAATTTGTTGTTCTTACCAACAGGTTTAGATTCTTGAGCATCAAGGATTGACTTTTCAAATTCATTATCATCGTCTTCTATAAATAAATAACACTTTTAGGATACTTACATCAATTTATATAATTTAAACATTTCACTGATTTTGCATGTACTTGAAAATAACAATGCTTAAAATATTGAAATGTGTGAATTGCTGGCATTATTTTTTGCTATCAGAATTTGTAATGAGCACCTTGGTCTGAGTTGTTGGCAACAGGGCATCTGGGACATACAAATGTGTCATCATCTGTATATGCCCTAATGCATCCACTTTCAGATTCATGTACACCAGCTGAAAATAATTCCACATCTGCCTCATACCCGCATTTCTGACAAACGTTGTCGAGCATCCTTCCTTCCCGATATTTTCTCTTCAGAGATTCTATAACTATTTATATATAAATATCTAAGTGTTTTTTTTATTGGCTTAAACAAAGTATAGCATATTTTGCATTCAACTGCTGAAGAATTTTCTAGTGTGGGGGAGACATTCATGAAAGACACTTAATTGTCTTCTGTAAAGTGTAAGTTGAAATATCTTTCTATATATCTTTCTATCAAAGTTAACCTCCAGGGTGAGAGGTTGGAATTCCCTGCTGACATATTTTTGAGGTCTCCTGTGAATTTTTCCACCTTGCACACCAGTTATAGTCAAATACAACATGTCACTAATGTCATTAATTTAATAGCAAATAATTTCAGGGGGACTTGCATTGCTGTGATTAACATTAATAGGTGCATATTTAAATACCTTCAGTTCTTATTCATAAATTTGTCATTAGAAAACCCACCCCAAGGAAACATGACCACCCCCCCCACCCCACCCCACCCCCATTTGCCTGTCCAATACCCCATCATTTGACCTTTTTTTATAAACAAGTAAGCCACCCAACAAAGTCACAAAATTATCAAAATTTGGTAAGTTTGCATTTAATTCAAAACATGGTCGTGGGTCAAGGTAATTAAAATACTTTTAAACAGTGTGATGGAGCAAAAATTGGAAAATTCAACCAGAAATATACTAAGTTCTTTGTATGATTGCATGGAGATAAAATATATAATTTTTTTGTGTGTGGAAACACCACGTAAATTTATTATTACAAAAAGTGTTACATAGAAATATACTGTAATATTTTTATCACACAAAACCTCAAAGCCAAATGTTAGTGGACAAAACAAATGTTTAATAATTATTGAAGCCAAATTTTATTGCTACCTGTTTCTTGTTCCTCTCCATGATCTATATCTGAATTATCTTCGGCCTTTTCGCCTGCCGATGTGTCGACACAAAATGCAGGACGAACATTTGGTCTGTGACCGATAATTTCGTTCAACGTTTGGAAGAATTTCCAAGGTTTTGCTCGGCCTTTTCCACTTTTCTTTGCACTGTCGACTTCTTTTTTGAAGCGTTGCCTCAGCTTTTTCATCTTATTAACGACGTTTTTGAGTGTGTAGTCAGTGAAACCTTTTTTGTGCAATTCCAACTGCAATGTAGAATATAAAATATTTTGTTTTTACACAACTTTTTTCAATGTATTAAACTCCAAAAACTTACCGTGATTGTTCGATAAGTAGCTCTCATTTCTTTTGACGATTTGCAGGTTTCCAAAGATATTCGAATCTCTTCTTCCTGCCAAATATTCAGCAATGCAATTGTTGAAGTATCGGGCCAAGTTATTCCTCTGTTTGTTCTTTTCTCCGTCTTTTTCCCTTCGTCTTTTTCCGCCATTTTGACGCTCGCAAAGCGCATGCTCACACAACTACTTTTTGGCACGGCACGGCATTTTGCCGTGCCGAGACTACCTATATAGCAGGTCTCGGCATGGGTAAAAATATGGCACGGGTGCCCAAAATAAAAAAGGCCCGATCTATTTACACTACAAAAACAAACGTGCCGTGCCAAAAAAAAAATGGCACCCGTGCCATTTTTCACCCGTGCCGTGCCATTTTTTTGCCAGTGTAAATGGGGCTTAAGACGTACAGGTATTGATAAATACACTTGTGAAGTAGGTGCCCCTCAACTCTTTCATGGAGCACTTGAGCAGGCGCACCTGAGAATTTTTGGGCAGTTTTGGAAACTGCCCTACTCTGCAGTCTGGTCACCAAATTATTTTATTATCCATGCATCGTCATGCAATTAGAAATTAAACATGATAGATTATTAGAAATATCCATTCTGCTACAGCCAGACAGCAAGTTTCCTTGATTCAAATTGAGAGAAAAGTCCTGAAGGCACTCATGTTTATGATAATGAAGTTATATTATTAATATATTCTTTGTTGACATATGATAATATGGATGCGAGTGTCAAGATTCAAGACTCGCAATTTGAATAAATATTATATAAAATTAATAATTTAACTTCCTAGAGCACCATCCAATGATTTACTTTTATTTGCCATATTGCAAATAAGAAAATTACTAGAAATACATGCATGCAATAACCCCTCGCCTGTTTTCAAAAGATGTATACTCAGTGCCGTTGCTAGCACTTCGTCTCAGGGTGTGTGTGAGGTTAGATAGGGGGGGGGGAGGTTACCAAAATGTTTCCAGATGTACAAAAAATTTTCAGGACATATAATAATTTTTCCGAAAATACAGTTGTTTTCCAAATTCACTTTCTCATGTCCTGAGAATTACCTGAATTCCCCTGAAAATCTTCTGCAAATCTACTTAAATTTACCTAAAAGTGCACTGGAAATCTACCTGAGCAATTATCAGGGGTGTTGCCCCCCCCAGTGAGTTCCAAGCAAACACTCTCTGATTTATTGTTTGTGTATTTCACCTCCCAAAAATATTGTGCATCATACTATAAAGCATTTTGCTGTTGTCATGCTCTGGCATGGTTCAAATTTATGAATTTTTATTATATAAAGTATAGTGTTTTACAGAGATTTCGAGCACTGATAAAAATGATAATCTCACATGTGAAATTATTCATGATAATCTCACATGTGAAATTTATCGCCTTTTCAATTATCGCTTTTCTGTAAAAATTATCGCTTTTCATTTAAGACTGTCCTTTATATAATAAACAGAAAAATACATGGATGGTTGGAAATACCAGATTTATTTTTCGTGTTGAACATGACATCTCACTCGTTCGCTGCGCTCACTTGTTCGCTGCGCTCACTTGTTCGCTGCACACTCATGTTCAACACTCGAAATAAATCTGGTATTTCGTGCACCCATGCATTATTCTCTATTTAAACTACAACTTGACTGGTTTAAATTATTATCAAGTTATCAGTGATTGTAAAAGTTGCAGATAGAAGTGTTTTGTTTTATATTATTATCAAGTTATCAGTGATCGCAAAACCTCCAAATCCTTAATTTCAAATGTTAGAATGTTAGGGTTTGTAATCCAAGTGAGAATATGTACATTTTAAGACCTAACCAGGAACGACTGCGAAAAATGCAGCACAAGGTCCTCTGGTAGGAATTGAACCTACGGCCCTGCGATTCCGGTGCAGCACTCTAACCAACTGAGCTACAGATGCCAGCTGTTGAGCTTTAACCGTAAGTTCATGTATATTTAGGTAATCGGGTGTGCGGGTTGTGATAAGGGGGACTTCAATAATTTGGATTCTTACACTTCACTTGTTGGAATTAATATTAGAATGTTAGGGTTTGTAATCCAAGTGAGAATATATACATTTTAAGACCTAACCAGAAACGACTGCGAATCGAAAAATGCAGCACAAAGTCCTCTGTTAGGAATTGAACCTACGGCCCTGCGATTCCGGTGCAGCGCTCTAACCAACTCAGCTACAGAGGCCAGCTGTTGAGCTTTAACCGTAAGTTCATGTATATTTAGGTAATCGGGTGTGCGGGTTGTGGTAAGGTGGACTTCAATAATTTGGATTCTTGCACTTCACTTGGTGGAATTAAAATTAGAATGTTAGGGTTTGTAATACAAGTGAGAATATATACATTTGTATATTCTCACTTGGATTACAAAATATATACACAAAATATATATACATGTACTATACATTTGTATATTCTCACTTGGATTACAAAATATTCTTACTTGGATTACAAAATATATACATGTATATATTCTCACTTGGATTACAAACCCTAACATTCTAATATTAATTCCACAATTGAAGGGCAAGAATCCAAATTATTAATTTCAAATGCCCCGCCGGGGCTAAGGTTCGAGTGGAAATGCCCAACACCTGGGATGTGCTTTACAGGAAAATGGCTTGGCGAGGGGGATGGGCACACTTGGATTTGGTTGATGCATTAAAAGTCCTGTGCTTATTCCAGACTACTTGTCAAATATTTACTTGCTAGAAGTAGAAATTTACTCTGACCACTGGATGAAAAAGACATTAAATAAGTACTGGTCAATAAACAGAAATGTATTTTTATTTCATATAAGTATTACAATTTTATTTTTATACTATAAAAATAAAATATAAACATGCAGCATAGAATATGCAAATTCGAGGCAAAATGATTGTTACATATTATGAACATTTATCCGACTGTGACCGAATGTACAACGATATATTTTTCAAAGTTGTTATGAATTCCTAAAATTTGTTTATAGTAAAACGGCCTGCTCAGCACTCACTACTCACGATGATTTCATTTCGAAATGCAGTTACCAGGAAAGGAACTGATTCTAAAATATGTAAATTTAAAAGCATTGGCTAAAAGAATAAAGCGATGTTAAGACAAGGTACAAACTTTTATACTTGCTATTTGTTATAAAATCATATAAATAAACCGATTCAATGTACCGTCGCTTGCAACTAACGATGAACAGTCGCTCATAAAAACATTCGCGCGATTAGAATCTTCAATGTTTGTCAAGACAACAACACTTAATTGTTGTTTCCCATGTGTACAATAATAAGTAACAAAACTTTGTGTGGTCTGAACCTGTTGGGCTACGGAGACCTACTGGAAACTTTTACAGGCCTTTTAATGTGAATAGAGAATGTTTTATCTGCAACTGTTCACCCTTAGTTGCAACCGACGGTATTTGACAGCATAAAATTGCCTGTGGCTGTGATAACTGATATAAATAATATACAGTCTGGTTATACTCAGGGGCGGATCTAGGGGTAGTCAGATTAGTCACGCGACTAACGTAAAAAAAAGGCATATAAAAAAATTTGGACTAAGGTTTTTGAATTTTTTCCCAGCGCAAACACTTCTCTTCATTTCTGATCACGCAATCAAAACTCTATCATACTCCAGCATATAAACTTCGATCAGTTTTTGCACATTGAGCCAGCGATTGATTAGTCAAACGATAAGTCAAATACGCGGTATTCAAATGAAAATTGACTATTCTGCGTTTTAGTTCATATGATTTGATTGGTCAAATTTGCTCAGATTACACATTACAGGCATGTTGATTGGTCAGACCTATTTTGACTAACGATTGCGAAATTTTGACTATTTTGACTAATTCTGCAAATAGATAGCAGCTTCTGATTGGACAATTTGCGCAAAAGAGTTAAAGAACATCTCCTCTGATTGGCCTTCTAATCTTCAATTTGGAAGCATTGTGCTTGCAGTTCTGTACAATTTTACAAGGAAATTATTTCGTTTGTATAATTTTATTTACTATTATCGAAATGAACGACGTAGATTTCGAAAAGGTTAGATCGTTATTTGAAAGTGACGATAAGGAATGCTTTAATACTGGTGTTCTGTGGAGAATATTCCAAGCAGATAAATTCGATGGATGCAAGAAAATTGTCTTGGCGAAACTATCTAGCTGAGATGTGTTGATTTCTCGAATTCTCGTAATCTCGTCGTCTATTTCAGGAGATTATAAAGAGGTGTATGGCAATAAGGTAAAGTGGATTGAATTTTGAACAATAAATCGTTGAATTGAACGTACAATTTGCTTAATTATGCGAGGTTTATAGGTCCAAAGTTTTATATACTGCATACATATTCATTATGTGTATAAAATTAAAACACCTCAAGTGGCAGAAATTTGATCTCAAATATTTGATCATGTTGGATAAAAATATTTATTGTGTACATGCTTTATAGAGTATTGATTGACTGATAATAGCTCTGCAAATGTACTTTATAAAGATAATAATAATATAATCTTTGGTTATATTTTTAGATCTGATATATGCAACTGGCAATTGCTTGTATAGCTCTGTTTCCTAAGCATTGACAGGTACCAATGACCTAATTTGACTTTGATAGTTTAAATGTTTACAGTGCAAGTGTGAAAGGTCTATTTCGGCACTTTTTATACAGTAGAACACTAAAAGGCTATATGCGAAGCACTATGGTTGAAGACTACTTAAATTAAATGACTTGGCTTGGTCATGATGCAAGTTCATCAGAAAATTATTCCTAACATAGTACTGTAGGAAACATTATTGATAAATTTTCTGGAACATGTGGTTAAAGTTAAGTATCTCAGCTTGCAAAAAGACCACTCTCGCCTCCAATAGCAATTAATAACCTCACTCTTGTACACAACACTGACAGAAAAAACTTCCTGGTGTTTGGTTCTTCATCATCAAGATCGCCACCAAGATCACCCCCCACCCCCCTCCCCCCAAACATTATTCAGGCTTTGTAGACAAAAGCTGATGCCAAATATCGGGTCTGATCTCATTGGCTTGAGACAGGTCCATTGCATCTTGAACCAGTTAAATTTTTCAACAGACCAGGGCTTGAAATAACATCTGATCACCAATCAATAATAGGCAGGAAATTGCTTATGATCGGCGG